CATGCCCATTGCCTGTGCTTTATTGGGTTTTCAACCAGGCTTTAGGTAAAAGGTGGACCCAAGGTGCCACTGCTGTGTGTCCTCCACCCACTGCTCCCAGCAGTGCACTGTGGCAGGGTGTGACATCAATCACAGCACCTCCCAGGCACAGATACTGCTGTGGTTTTATAGCAGGGTGGGACCACACGTCCTCTCTGATGTCTAGGAGTGCTGAGCCAAAAAGTCATGACATGAAGCTGTATGATTTCACCGCCCTTTTCATTCCTGACACATGAGTGTGTTGCACCATGGTGCAGGAACATGTTTAACCTGCACACGTCGGGTGATTTGATTCTCTTCTTGGGGCTCTCTTAGTGGCTTTGCTTCCAAAAGACGAATATGCAACTGCACTGGAGTCACTTCCCATTTGATCATCTAGACAGGGGCAGGGAAGTGATGTGTTCACTTCCAATAACTGACTTTGAAGGGAAGGTTGTTGATGCAGGTAACTGACCTTCAACATAGACAAGTCACCTCATTTGGAGAAGTCAGAACTTCATGAGGCTTTGCATTGCATCCTGATTCCAGAAGAGTTGAAAAAGATGCTTTTTAGTCCATGAAAACGAGCATTGAGGAGTGGCAGCATCTGCCACCCCGTGTGCCGGAGCTGCAGAGTGCAGCATGAGGCACTAATACCTCTGCAGAAAACGCTGATTTGTGCTGGGTAGATTGGATCTGGGCTTTATTTTTTCAGGTGGTTGTGGAAGAGGCTGGTTCTATACGTCGTGGTGATGAATACAGCAATTTTCCTATCAGGTTCTGACACATTAAACTCTTCTGGGTGATGCTGAGGAGACTGTGAGAGGATTTAAACACCTAAACAATTATTATTATCTGCAGCCAACACACTGCTCTGTCGATACCAATGCTCAAAACGAAGGCGTTGAGTGAGAACTGAGTGACAAGTAGAAAAAAAAAAAGAGGCACGGAGAAGGAGGTGCAACATCTCCACACTTTTTGTACTTATCAAAAGGGATTTGTTGGGCGTATGTGAGTGTCCCGTAAAGCAGCATCTGCAGCCCAGGTTTATTGCTCTGGCGTGTTTGAGGACGTGCTCTCCAGGAGCCAGCCTGGCCTCTGTGTGCAGCGTACACAAACTAGCTGCAGGGCTGGAAAATAAATACAGCATGACGGAGCATTTGTCACCTTCCACAAGTGTTTCACCAACTGCCTTACGCCTTGGTAACATCTTGTTTTGACCATTAGCTTAAAGAAACCTGATGCCTCGTGAACGCCTCGAAGGGCATGTTCTGTTCTCCAGGGGTACGCTGGTTCTCTTTTCTCTTTTTAGTCTGTGTAGGGACTTTTCTAGTCACCCTGGGATTTAGTTATTTCAGTGTCTACTGTTCATGTGCCATAGGTAACCCAAACAATCTTTTTGTAGACTATTTCCAGAACTTCAGATTCATTTTGAAGTCCAAAAAATTGATAACAAGTATTTCGTAGCTCTTGCTTTTAAATTCATCAGAAGGGAGAGACGGGAGGATTGGTGGAAAGCTATTTTCCTCTTGGTCCAGGGAACTTTGAAGAGTTTTGCTAAAACAGTAGAGTACTTTAATAATGTTTTCAGCTACACTCCATCAAATAGTGAGGCTAAACAGGGAAATGGCCAGACCTTTGAACTATTTTTGTGGCTCCTCATCACTCACTTCTGTGCCGAACTCTCTCATAACAATGATCCCGAATAGAAAAGCAGGAGACATACTTAATACATGAGCAGTGTTTCCTGCCAGACCTCAGCTGATCTCAAAGAAACTGCAAATGATCTACATCTAGGCAGAACCATGGGTTGCATCACAGTCATTTTATTTTCATTAATACCTTAGTTGGGTGTAAACCCTGAGGAGGTCCTTTGGCTTAGACCTCTGCGGAGGATGCGATACAGATGAAACCTCCCTATGGGTTGAAAGAGACCCTGTGAACCAAAAGCTATTGGTTTTATGTTAAAAAAATGAGAACTATCCTCAGACTCATTTATCTCCCCCTGCAGTGAAAGTGCCACAGGGATTCAGTTCCTTTGAAGTCTGAGTTAAGAGAGGAGTGGGGAGGTCGATATCTGGGGATAGGCATTGCTCCAAAGAGCGGTCTCTCCTAGGTTAAGAACAAAATAGCAATGGGTGAGCTGGTAAGCAGCAGCTCTTTTTGGACATGGGGCCCACAGGGTGGTCACGCAGAGCTGAGAGGTCTCCAGACTCCCATCTCACTGTGCAGCAAGCCCGTGGAGAAAACCATGGTGTCCCAGTGTCCACCTTCCACCTTCCCTGCCAACTTAGCACCAAACAACCTGTAAGTCTTCCTGGACAAAGGAGAGCCAAGATATTAGTGATCCTTGAGCTGAGTTTACAGTCCTCATCCTGAGGGTGGGAAATGCGAGTCCCCTTTTGGGCGCGTGGGAGCTGGAGGGCAGCCGCAGCCATGCTGACGGGAGACCCCGGCTGTGGCTGGGTGTTTCAGGTCCGGTTGTTGGCCAGGGGTGGGATAGTGCGTCTCTCTGTTTAATACCAGATAATCAGCTCTTGCGGGATGCAGGCTAGCAGGGCTGAGCCGAGAGCAGCAGTCGGCACCGCTGTGGCATATTTCCTCTTGCAGATTAAAAGCCCTTTCTATAACCTCAGCAACACCCGCTGCCAAAAGCATTGTTTTACAGAGTGCTGTAGATGCTGCCCATTAAAGAGCAATTAGTCTGTGCTGGGTGCATAGCCTGCTCTCTCTCCCAGATGGCTAGTTATTAAGATATTTATGGTTAATATGAATTTCCCCTGCCATAAATCACCGGCCTTTATACCTGCAGGGAAGTCGTGGCAATCAGTGACCCCACTCAGTCGGCCTGGCCAGTGAGCGCTGTCTTGTAAAATAAAGATTGTAACAACTTATCGTCATCGTAAAAACAACAGGAGAGGGAAAAATCCCAGTGCTGGTATCTGATAACGTGCTGTAATCAAGCGCTTGCATATCCTCTTCGAGGAGGCTGGTAAATGGAAAGTTACACAGATTCATTTGTCACTCGGGGACTTCTGGACAAGGAGCCAAAGCCTGTTTCAATTAGATGGGTGGGAGGATGGAGGAGCAGTAATGTGGAGGGCTTGCAGGAGGACCGCGTGCCAGCAGGTGTGGGGTGCACCTCACCCAGCGCGGGGAGATGCGGGAAACGTTGGATTTAAGGAACTCTGCTGGGAACTGGGACACCACCCTCTGGGACATGCTGCTGCAGGTGCTGCAAGCTAAAGTTATCCCCAAGTCAAGGCTGTCCTGAGATGTGGACACCTTTTCCATGCAGTTTATATGCTTTGAAAACCTGGGTTATATGTATATCTCAAAATAAAGCCTCCTGAGCAGTATTAGGTATGCACGTGGCACATTGTTTTTCTGTCATGATTGGCATTTGGGTGTAGGGTGGTTATGAGCAGCGTGAAAGTATGCAGAGTATTTCTACCTTTTGGGGCTGATCTCATTTTTACCCTGTGACTTCGGTGTTATCAGAAACTAACGTTCATATCAACACTGACCGGTTCTAACCACAGATCTCCAAACCGGGGAAATCATGCTCCCTTTCCTCTTTTTTTTAACCTATCTAGGAAACGTTAACTCTGTGAAGTAACCTTCTCTAAAGTGCATTAACTGACAGCGGATGGCAGGAGATGACACCTCCTCCTCCGCAGGTGTGCAGCTCCCATGCAGGCTTTTTTTTGCCCATAGTTAAGACACCAGTGACCCCGCTCATGTTGCTGCCGCAAGCCACATCGCTTTGTCTCTGGTCCTTCCTTTCAGGTGTTTCCTCTTGTCTTAAATAACGTGACAAGGGATTTCATGTGCACCTCGCACAACAACATGCCTTTTCCATAGGAGCTTTTGAGCATTGCTGAAGACAGCTAACCATCCTTGCATTCCCCGTTACACCTTCCTGCATTTTGCAGAGGGAAATCCAAACCTGCACAATATCTTTGCCTTATTGTTAGGGTCTCTGGATTGACACCAGTAGGTTCAATCCCTTGCAACAGCCCTGCTAGCACTAGTATTTTTTCTACTATCGGTTTATGGCTGGTTTAGTACCAGCTGAGTAGCATGCCCCAGTTAGAGAGTTAATACAATGATGAAAGGATAGAAAAATCAGCTTTCAAGGTCTTGTGCTGAGTACATGGGAGTTGTTTCAGCCGTCTGGGGAGAGTATTAAAATGCAATGTCAGTAGATGGCACTATTTTATACTTTATGAGGACACAGTACAGGTAGGGAAGGAGCGGTAAAGCTCAGGAGATGTAAACCCAGATTTCCTCATTCTCACTCAATGCGAAAATGCTCCACCAAGATCAGTGCAAAAGACGTGAGGGCTTTACTCCATGAGATTTCCTCTCTTCCCTTTGCTTGTACTGAGCCTTTTGCAAAAGTTAAGGTTTAAGGACGATCTCCATCATTTATGGCTCTTGGGATGATAAACTCCCATTGCCACGTGAAGGCAGAGATGTGTTTGTGTGCTTATTAAACATCTCTAGTTAGCCCTGCTCAGAAAATATTCAGATTTCTGCAAACAGTCTCATTTGCTCCCAGAAACTTGCTAAAAGCGGAGTAAAAGGGGTGACATTTTTATTCCTCTGAGACCCAGTGTTGCTTGTGGAGTGATTGAGAACAGCTTTTTTTCAGCTGGGCAGGATTTAAAGGTCTCTCTAATGTAAAATGGCTCTGGGTGTTTATAACTTGGCATAAATTATTCCATGATTAATACTGTGTTGTAACCTCACTCGGGAAAACTGGAGGAGGCAGGAAAGGTGCAAACTGGGGCAAGATGTGACTTTTCTGGTATCCATTGTAAAGCAGAGATACTAACAGTCTGTCTCCCCAGCCTAATTCTTTCACCCACCGCTGTAATGTTGGGATAATCCTGGAAAAATCCAGCGGGTGACTCCGGTTGGAGGCTGGGGCACAGGAGCAGAGTTTGGCCGCTGCTTGTCTGTCTGTCTGTCCACAGGAGCCGCTGCCACCGCGGTGGCGCTGGATGCAGCCAAACGATGCCGCGGGTGTGCGGCTGAAGCCACCCGAGGGACCGACTCTGCTGTTTGTTGCCATTTCTTCGGAGTCAGCTGGGGTTTATTTTGGAGGCTTTAAAGGTCAGAGAGTTCAAAGTTCAAAAATGCTCGTCAGAGTTAACATATATTTTGCCTTTAAGTTAAAAAAAAAAAAAAAAGGAATCTGTCCTTCACTTCTAAATCCCTTATATTAGGAATTCCTGTCATCCTCTGACAGTGATATTTTTATTCCCTTTAGTAATTGATTTTTTTTCCTTTCCCCAGAGCCTCCCTTGTTTTGATTCTTGCCATTTATTACTTTTCTTTTTACTTGGCATCTCGGAGAACTGTCGCCATTCCACTAGTGTGCTACTCCGTCCCTTCGTACGTATGCTGTCTCTTTTGCTGTACTGAAAACAAATAAAAGACATGCCTGAAGAGCAGTAAAACCTCCTGGTCTTTGCTAATGATGGTCAGCAGAAAGACTAAACTGTGCCCATTTACACCCAAGCCATTTCCCCCTCTCTGCCCTCCCGCCTGGTTCCTTTCCGTTGCTGATGCAATGCTAGATTTGTAAAAAATCCTGACTACTATACTGTTTTTATCTTGAGGAACATCTAAATCACTTAGAAGTCTGTTGGCTGAACTCAATAAACAAATAGCAGAAAGCTCACTAGTAGCAGTGAGTTATGGCTTTTCTGTCACTGCTACATGGGGTTGTATACAGCAGCTGCACTAACAGCAACCCCTCTATTAGCATACGCTTCTTTTAATCCAGTTCAGAAGAATTAAAGCAGTGTTCCCCGCATTGGGGAGCGTGGCGTTTTATAAACTAGCCAGATTAAGGTCTGCCCAGGCAGCGCTTTGCTGCCGGTAAATAGTCACAAGGGTTTGTCCGCAGTCGCCTCTCGCTGCGTGCAGGGGAGATGCTCAGACCTAATCACACGTGGAGCCCCACTTTGATTTGATGGAGAAAATCATCTGTTATCACCAAAATCTCCAAGGAGTTGGCAAAGCCCAAACCGAACCAGAAAGTAAGCAATGCCCTCTCCTGCCAAGGAAGTTAACCCAGCTTCATGAGAAAAGGCAAGTAGAGTCATGCCTGATGCTTCTTCCCATGTCTCTGTACGTGTGTGTGTATAGTCGTGTAGATGAATATGTTGGTACAGATGTCGTTAAGTCTGTAGCATAAAGTGAGCACAACATATATTTATTCCCACTATAAGGGTACACAAAATTAAATTATATAAAAATAAGTAGAATCTCTATCCTTGCACATCTACTACATGTATTAGCTACATCACATCTTTACAAGTAATTCAGTACATGTCTATATATGACAGAGATCCAGTGTAACCTGTGTTTGTGCGATATATTGTGTCAAAAGTACACACAACATCTGTGATTTAAGGAAAGAAATAACTCATTATTCACTTGTCTTCTCTATACTGGTTACAAAAAACTAGTTTTTAGTTATCTACATTTTGAATATGTTTTCTGTGCCACTGAACAGTAATGGCTTGGGTTTTTTTCAATATTCTGAATTTTTGCCATGCAAAAAGCCTACTAAGATATAAAATATGCACTTTTTTATGCAGGATAGCAGCATGGTTCGATCCTGTTCTCAACTTTTGACAAAGCTTACAGTTTTAGGTTCATTTACAGTTTTTTCTTTTTTTATTACAACCTCATAAAAGTATTTACAATATTTCATTGTATTTTAAACCAAAAGCACTGAGAGAAAATAGTTTAAATAAAAATGCCTATAATTTTCCGGTTCCCTTGTCACTGTCTGAAAACCTTATCAGTGTTCCTCATTACTTTAATGGTACAGGATTAAGGGTAATGAAGAAACATTTAAGGTTCTGCAAATCACTTTGATTTCATTGTATAAAGTAACAGCACTTCTCTTTGATTTACTACTCAGTTGTTTGAAATAGCCTATGTTATTTATCAGTCTTGGAGGAAACTCTTTTTCCCTGAACAATTAACTACTCAGACTAAAGTTGCATAACTCTTTTCTTTTACTCTTTTTTTTCAGAGCATTTGTGGATGAGAAATAACGAACCCTCCACCTTGATGTTTGGTGGAGTAGAGATGAGTATTTTTATGGTGAATTTTCTTGCAAACATTTTCATTGTCTAGACACTTTTTCCCTTTTTGAAGGTGAAAGTAAAGGTCACTGATCACTATTAAATTGGGCTTGCTTCTATAATTTTGGTAATTTTCATTTGCTCATTTTGCTTCTCATTTTGCATTTGGTTTTCAGTTCAGATCTGTTTTCTTCATTGCCCGCATGGATTTCTTAGTTTCCTCACTGAGGGGGGTGTTTCTCAAGTTAAAAAAAATGTTTTGAAATAAAACACTCGCATTCAAACAGAACAATAACATTTCTGACTATTACAATGCTCGTAAAATAAAATAAAAAATCCAAAGAACTCCAAAATCACTCATATAAAAAAACCCTTTAAAAATGTTGCAATATTCATAGCAATTAATTCTGATCGTTCAGCTTTTCCTATTCATTAGCTACTGAAGAAAGGGTCCTTTCTCCATTGAATTTGCTGACTTCTGCAGGCAGATGCCCTGCCTCGAGGTGAGTATGATGGTATAAAACCAAAAAGAGGTGGCTGCTTGGCTTATATTTCTGTCAGTTCAACCCCTGGCACATGGTTTCAGAGCTGTGCCTGCTCCTGCACCCTCTGCAAAGCGATTTCTCCGCTTGGGATTCAGATTCCTCTGTGGTCTGAAGTGATGCTGCTGCGTGACCTGGGTATTAGGAACGCTGAAGCCACCCCGAGTTCATGGGTAGTTCAGCGCGTGCGGCGACACGCAGGGCTTCAAACAAATTGCTGGCATCGTGTCTAAAATGTTTCAGAGTTCCCCAGTGCAGTAAACTCCTTTAAGCAATTTAATAATTGAGGATTAAAATACTGTATCTGTGGTTTTGCTTGTACTAAGATGAGATGAATGTGTAGCTGGACCAGTTCTTTAATTCCCTTTGACGGATTTTTCCCATGGCATGTGCTAGCCAGGTAAAATTCATTGTCAGTTTGAAAAGCCTTTATGTAAGCACAGACTCACTTGAGGTTTAGCTCTTCCCGGTCGGATGATCAGGAATTGGCCCTGACATAGTTGTGACTGCAGAAAATGGACACTATGGGATATCCCCACCCATAAAGCGCTGATCGAGAGTACCCAGAGGTCTAGGAATGGCTGTGAAGCCTAGAAAGTGGTGAATATTGTTAATAAGGCAGGCGTGTCCTAACAGGCACACGAAATTTGGTATGGAGGAGAAGGTGCTGGACACGACTCTCTTCCCGGTCCATTTTCTTAGGGCACGAGCTCATGTTCTAATTCCTCCACTTCCAAATTGCGTGGGGAAGGCATCCATCATGCGGTTGTGCTTTGAGTCCTGTAAACTACTGGATAGATATACACCATGAAACAACTTGAAATGCCGATGTGATTAAAACACAACTGATAATATTGATTCAATAGTCTGTCACCTGGCAAAGGTACCATAAGAAACAGCCACCCAAAGCTTTCAAAGTAGCTATTTGCAAAAGGCATCGTAAGCACCTCATGAAATTTTTTTCCCTTGAAAAATAAAGAATATAGAACATAATCTTAAATCCAGCAAGACCACTGTCAAAAACATATAAACAATGTAAGAGCTTACACCCTACACCGAGTCTAGCTTTCTAAGAGTTGGAAAAGTTTAATCCCATGTCTGTTGTTTGGCAGTCTCTTCACTGAATTCACTGAGCTGGGATTAGTGTCTGTTAGTTTCTAGCTACTTGCTTTACAATTTTTCAACGGTTTCTTTTTAATATCCCTGGTCTTGTAAGCAGAGAAGTAGCATAGGAACCATAATATATTATGTTATATATTATACCAGCGGTATAATCCTATATTGCTATTGGGAGATAGCAATATACTTAAGAACTTAAGGAATCACAGAACAATTTTGCAGTGTAATCAGTGCTACCAAAACCCCTCACCCAACATTTGGGGGGGTGGGGGGGCAGGAGGAGGGAGAGGCTTCAAGCTAATTCTTTCCATCTGGGCTTCATTTACGGATTATGTGGGAAAAGGCGAGATTAATACATCGGAGGAATGAGCAAGCATTAATTTGCCATCTGTGGAAGTAAACAGGAAGCCCAACACGTTGTGCCTTAATGCGTGCTTATTGGTTTAGTGAGGAAAGATGAGTTGACGCCATGGGTCTTATGCTGAAAATATTTTAGTAAATTCTAATAAGATATTATAAACAAATGTCCGTCCAAAGCTTTTCTAAATAGGGGAAAAGAACATTGTCCTTGGATACAAGAGCAGCTGATAGGAGGGAAAAAAATCCTTTGAATGAATTTGGCAAGAAAATCTCACTTGTTTGAGATTATTTTTCTTGAAGTTTGATTTTTTTTTTTTAATTTTCTTTGAATTGAGCATGTAAATGAACCCCCATGTTCAACTTCTGAGCTTCTGCTGCTCCTTTTAAAATGTAATAATTGGCTCAAGGACTGACAATGCTTTTAAAGCATAAGTTTAAGAATAATCCTTTTGTACTGTGGTGGCTGAGTGAAAAAGGAATGATTTTCTCCCGTGGCCTTTTCTTTTCATTTCCCGTGTATTCATTAAGATTGGCCCAGACCACCTACGTGATGTGTAACCTGGAGGTCTCCCTGCTTTGCTCCCAGGTGACGGGATCCCAGCTCTTTCCACGGTTTCACTCCCTGAATTACATATCCCTGTCTTCCTGAGCACATTTCTCTGGAGAGATGGAAGCTGAGTATTTAAACAGAGATGACATCGATTCTTCTTTCCCAAGACCCGTAGCTTAACTCCCACCTTCCTCTCCCGCGGCAGGGGGGGGCTGCTCCAGCCCCACTGCCCCGTAACCGCAACCGAAACGCGGCGATGCGGTTTCCCATCATCTGCACGTGCAGGATGCCAGCAACACCCAGCGGCAGGGCAGGAATGGAGGCTCGGCAAGATCCCTCTGGAGCATCACACCCGTGCAAAATTATGGAGGGGTCCCATGAGGTCGGCAGTGTTTCATTTCCCTTAGGCTAAAAAAGTCTGCATCAGGCTGTGTTTGC